TTTCTACCTGTCTGTCTATTTATCTATCTATCTACCTATATATATATATATATCATCTTATGTATCATTCTGACATGACACTGACAAATTTCCTATACAGAGTCTCAGCACCACAACCTCTACAAGCACACAAGTGACCACGACGACGACCACAATCACTGGCACGAGCAGCAGCGCAGCAAGCACATCAGCAACACCTACACCCACCTATACTCTCACACCTATACCAACCTACACATCATCACCAACCCGGACGTTTGAGGACAGTAGCACAGGCACTCCAACGCCCAACGCAACGACTTCAGTCTCGCCGACTACCAGGTGAGTCCATATAAGGAAGGCATGTTTGTCCGTATATGGAAGCCGTGTAGTTTTGGCGGAGTGGTGCATTGTGGCTTGATTGAGATGAAGTTCCGGACACATGGGTCACGTTGACTATTTGGAGTGATACTAGATGAGTCCGTATAAGGAATTTATGTGGTTTTGGCGGGCAGTGGATTGTTTTTGATCACCTGATATTCCAGTGTTCTACCCTGCCGCACAAGGAGAGAGTATCGGGCGTGCTTATGGATCGTTGGGATACAATTGTCCATATAAGAAATTCATGTGGTTTTGGCGGCTGTTGATTGTTTCTGATAATCTGATGTGCTAGTGTCCAATTAGTGACACAAAGACTGATGGTAGTGCGCACGTATGAATCCTTAGCGTTGAGTTGTCATAGGCAGCATGATATACGTCGTATGCCTATACCATTGTCATAGGCAGTATAATATACGTCGTATGTCTATACCATTATCATAGGCAGTATAATATACATTGTATGCCTATACCAGGACGTAGTGATGATAGCGGGAATGTCTTCGTGTGGCACTACATGAGACATGTGAGCGTGGAGACTCGTTCTTGATAAGCAGTACATGATCAAGACGCGACCTCTTACGCTAGTCATCATCTATAAATATATATTTTCGTGTTAAGGAAGTCTTGATCTATAAATAGATATTCTCGTGTCGAGGAAGTCATGATCGGTAAAGAAAAATCCCCGTGTTGAGGAGATCATGATCTATTAATAGATATTCTCCCGTTAAGGAAGTCATAATCTATAAATGGATATCCTCGTATTAAGGAAGTCATGATCGGTATATAAATAACCCCGTGTTGAGGAAGTCATGATCTATAAATAGGTATCCTCCTGTTAAGGAAGTCATAATCTATAAATAGATATCACCATGGTAAAGTAATTGGTAGTAGCTCACTGTAGGTTGATACCACCAGCCTGAAGACAGTAACACTCAACTCTCTGACGATTAGAGTACTGCTATATCGAACAAGAACATCCGACATTCAGAACGAGTCTATATACGCCAGGCTTGACCCACATCCAATATATCGGACACTTGATTTGATTCTGTTGACACTTTGACACTTTTTGACACTCCGGCTCCGAACATGTCTATTAACTCGTGTTCCACACCATCTGACATTTCTGACACTTCTGACACTTCTGACACTTCGAACACTTTTGACACCTCTAGTACGCCCGTGAGTACTACACCAGCGCCCACCGGCACAGTAACTCTCTCGTCCACCGAAACTACTGGTGTGTCATTACCACAGCAGTTGAGTGACATATATGTATACATGCAAGCATTCAATTCCCGATCAAAACCTATCTTGTGTGTGTGCAATAATGTGTTTAACCTATCTTGTGTTTATATATATTTGTTAAGCCTATCTTGTGTGTGTGCATATATGTGTTAAGCCTATATTGTGTGTGTGCATATATGTGTTAAAAGTATCGTGTATATATATATATATGTGTTAAACGTATCTTGTGTGTGTGTATATATGTGTTAAATGTATCTTGTGTGTGTGTATATATGTGTTCGTGCCGTACCGCAGCAGCGCGCGGCAGTCATGGTACTGCGCATGCATAAACCGGTATCCCGATCACTACATGTGTAAACTGTTCGTATGTGTATATGTCTATATCCTGTTAAAACACTTCTTGCGTGTGTTGTGTATATATATTCATATACAGATGAGAAGTCTTCGTGCATACATATATACATATTTATGATGAATCTGCCTACATGTATATAGCTATGTCCTGAGAATACATATATATGTTAATACATGTAAGGAAGTTATATGTATATACCCGTACCGTTCCTATCTTATATGTACATACCCTTATCCTGATGAATACCTTTCTTACATATACTAATTAACATACACTTTTCTTACATATGCCTTGTTTCCATATACCGCTTACATATACCTTTCTTACCTATGGCTTTCTTATATATATCTTTCTTACATACACCGCTTACATTTACCTTTCGTACATATCCTTCGTACATATACCAATCCGTATCCCGATGGAACAGCTACGCCAGCACGCAGAAGACGAGCTGTCAAGGCAGACACAGACTATCTTTACTGCCCAGGTGCACCCGACTACAAAGAGTTCGACGCACGTTTGTGGTTGGCCAATGCCACCTCAGATAACAACTTCACAGCCTTTGTCACTGAGTTGAACAATAGGAATCCGGGTGAGTTGAGAGTACAATAGACCAGAGCGTTATATATACTAGCTA